CTGCCCATTCGGTTGCAGAATTCCTGCTGTTTGCTTGTAGGATTCGATCCCTGACTCTGCTGCATGTTCTGTAATAGATGCACCATATTACTGTCATAAATTCCAAACAAAATTCCGAATTCTGAAAACATCTGCCCCCAAGGTGTCATACAAGGTATGATATCCACCATATAAAGCCGTAGCATCTACCCTGCAGGTGTGTCCTCAGGATTCAAGGAGAACATGCGTGTGAAGAGGGCTGCCCAAGGGGGCTCCGGGCAGCCAGCAGGGCCCTGTGTACACAGACGTCGACACCCTCAGTGCCTCCTGAGTGGGCTTTATGGGTTTCACTGGACAGAAAGCACCTCTTTTGGTCCCGGCACGGAGCAGGTGCTCGTAAACGAGAGCAAACACGAATTTAGTGACCTGATTTGCTCCAGCTACTGTCCCAGGTGTTTTACATCATATGACCTCATTCTATTTTCACAACCCCCTGTATCAGGCAGATACTATTATTCTCTCCATTCTACAGATGAGGAAACCGAGGCCCAGGAGGTTAGCAAGTCGCCTACGACCACAGACTGGTAAGAGAGGCAGAAGTCACATGCTAGCTTCTGTTATCTTCTCCTGTCTTTTTTAATTAAAAAATTTAACTTTTGGGGCTTCCCTGGTGGCACAGTGGTTGAGAGTCTGCCTGCCGATGCAGGGGACACGGGTTCGTGCCCCGGTCTGGGAGGATCCCACATGCCGCGGAGCGGCTGGGCCCGTGAGCCATGGCCGCTGAGCCTGCGCGTCCGGAGCCTGTGCTCCACAACAGGAGAGGCCACAGCAGTGAGAGGCCCGCGTACCGCAGGGAGAAAAAAAAAATTACCTTTTTTTTGTTAATAAACTTTTTTTTATTTTTGGCTGTGTCGGGTCTCCATTGCTGCATGAAGACCCAGAGGGATTATTTCCCGGTGGGAATCTCTACAATGGCAATGGGGTCATGCAAACCTTTTACCTACGCACATAATTGACCTGCCATTTACATAGTGGAAAGTGGTACATCAGGGCGCTAAAGATGACTTCCCTTGCAAACCAAAGCCCTTGCGGGCTTTCTCTAGTTGCAGTGAGCGGGGGCTACTCTTCATTGAGGTGCGCGGGCTTCTCATTGTGGTGGCTTCTCTTGTTGCGGACCATGGGCTCTAGGTTCATGGGCTTCAGTAGTTGTGGCATGTGGGCTCACTAGTTGTGGCTCACGGGCTCTAGAGCACAGGCTGTGTAGTTGTGGCGCGGGCTTAGTTGCTCCGCGGCATGTGGGATCTTCCCGGACCAGGGCTTGAACCTGTGTCCCCTGCACTGGCAGGCGGATTTTTAACCACTGTGCCACCAGGGAAGTCCCAAATTTAACTTTTTAAATTAAAGTATAATTAACACATAACAGTTTCAAATGTACAATAATGACTCCATATTTGTATATCTTGGGAAATGATCACCCACAGTAAGTCTAGTTAACATCTGTCACCTCACATAGTTACAATTTTCTTTTCTTGTGCTGAGAACTTTTAAGATCTACTGTCTTAGCAACGTTCAAATATGCAACATGGTGTTATTAATTATCATCACCACACTGTCCGTTCTATCCCCAGGACTCATATATCTTCTAACTGGAAGTTTGTACCTTTGACGACTCTCTGTTTTCCCCTTCCTTTACTCTCATTATAAGGACTGTAAAAATAAAAGAATGAAGGAAAGGAAATCCACATTCACTGAATGCTTCCCATGAGCTAAATCCTTTCAAACTGTATCTCATTTTATCCACAGCATGAATCTGAGAAGGATGCATGATTGTTCTTACTTGTGCAGAAGGAGCACAGAGGGTTCAGCTGGCCTTCTGAGGTCTGCTTAGTTGGGGAGCAGGACAGCCCCCCACCATGCTGAGGCCAGGCTACCACTCTTGCATCTCAGGAGGAGGTGCTGGCCGGGGACCCAAGGGTTAAGCAGCTCAGGCTGGCAGAGCTGAATCACGATTAAGGAGATTTCACTCAACTATTACCTGATCCCAACTGCGGGTGTGCTGACCCTCCACCCACTGCTCAGACTGCTTCGTGTATCTTTTCCTTGTCCCTGACTTTGACATTGACCCCATCATTCAGCCGGGACTCAAGTGCTTCACTGGCTTTTTGAAATGGCTTCTGGATCAGCGTCTGAGAAGTCTGACTCTACAGGGCCCGAGGCACTGAATTCCTTCAGAGAACCCAGACCCCAAACCCTGTCCCCGAAGTGGGCCCGGATGACCCAAGGGTGGCTAGTGTTCTCTGCTCGCCTTTACCTTGAGTTTTCTCCGGATTTGTACCTATTCTCTCCTTTTTTGCTCCTTCAGAAAAGGATCCCAACTCACTTCTAAAGCATGTCCCAAGCTTTTTTTTTTTTTTTTTTTTTTTTTGCTTCCATCTTAAAATTCCCTCTGCACTGTTTTCTCCTCTTGTTCACTTACACATATGCATAAATTGTCTCTAGGTTTGATAAACTACAGTCCTCCTTTTCCCCATCAAGCTACCCTCTCTTTCCTTCACACTAATTGAATTCTTAAAGGAGAACCGTGACCTTCTATTCACTCCTCACCTGAATTTAGGTACCTAATTGCCCCACCACTGCCCTCTTTCTTCTCACTCACTGCACTTCCCCAAGGGCACCCGAGGCTGTTGATTTACCACCTGATGCTCCTGCTCTGGCCTCTGGCCTGGGCTCCAGGGCTCTCCTGGCTCCTCCCCCTTTACACATACCTGCTCAAATGCAGGTGCTTCCTGCAAATCTGTGCTCCTAACCCTCCTCCGTTGATACCCCTTCCTAATGATCCCCTGCAATCTTAGGATTTCAACTATCACCTCTGGGTGTTTGTCTTCCACATGGTGGTCTGGCCTGACTTTTCTCCAGAGATCAGACCTTGATTTCCAGCTACCAGGTGGGTGTCCTGCCTCGGGTACGATGCCCCTCTGGGCACACAGGCCCCGTTCCCCTGTTACCTGTGTGTCTCATGCACTGCTTTCTCCCAGCTGCCCAGGCTCCACGTTCGAGATTCAATTTCAGCTCTTCTCAAGCATTTATCAAACAATGTAAATTCTATGTCTGGAATTTCTCCAACCCTGAACCCTCTTTCCACTGTCCCAGTTGAGGCTTTCAATATGTTCTCTCTCAACTATGCGATCGTTTCTTAACAGATCTCTTTGAATTCTGTCTTTGGCCCTCAGATCTATGGTTGAATAAATGCTAACAGTGAATCTGCTAAAATGCATATCCGATCATGTTTCCTCAAAACTTTCTGGGACACCCATTGCAAATTAAATAAAATTCCAGCTCTGTCACCTGTGGTGACAAATCCCCCTCACCTGGGCCCAGCCTCCTTCTCTGCCACCAGTGGCTGGGGCCCCTGCTCCTGACCACCTGCCCTGCGTGGTTGCTATCCTCCAAAAGGAGGTTGCAGCCCCCCTGGCAGGCCAGTTCTGCGGCATTGTTCCTATTTCTGGGAATCGTTCCTGGACACCTCGCCCAAAAGCAGCCTTTCCAGCTATTTTCTGATTAGACAAATCTTTCTGTGCCTAAAATAGCTGATTGTTTCACTGACAGAACCACGACTGACATCAGGGTTCATGAGCAATTTGGGGATGAGCTTGTGCTGAAGGTAAAAAAATACGTTTTAGGACAAGTTGAGCGAAAATTATTCAGCAGCATCAATATTTCAAGTTGCCTGGAATCCATCTGAATTTCAGAATCAAGAGTAGAAATAATTGGAAAAACCCTGCTGAACCTAAAACACAGCTCAGGTCCCCAAGTATGAATGTCACGGGGTCACAGATTTCCTCATTTTTATTAAGATGTGCAGATATAATGAGACTTTAAATTTTTCCTACAAGGCGTCTACTCTTCCCCATGAGCCTGACCTCAGAGGGATTTTGGGAGGGACGGTGAGGAGAAGGGGCATGGAATTCAGTCTCTGCCCATTTGTGGAATTTCAGTCTAAGGAGCATGGTTTTATTCTTCCTGATTCCTGCCCTCTCCATAATATGTGGGTGCACAAGGCTGTGTGGATGAGCTGTCCCTGGGTCCTCTACCTCTTGCTGAGTCCCCATGTGAAGTGGCTGGTCTGGCCTGGTCCCTGAACTGGGAACTGCTAAGGACGGTAGATCCTGTCTAGGGCTGGGGCCCTGTGCTGTCACCCACTGTTCAAGCCTGTGCCTCACTCACGGCCCCACCCCAGGGTGTGAGGGCTTCCTGATCCCTGGCCCAAGAATCTGCCTGTGACCCATGCTGCCATGTGGCTCTGGAGTCCACATGGATGTGGGCCCTCCCTGGTCTTCCAGATGGAGCAGGAGGCAAATCCTCCTCTGCTTCCAGCTTTCCTATGAACACATCTAATCTGTGTCCGTGCTGAGGTTTCTACCTGGAGACGGGACACAGGTACTGTTCTCTTGGTTTTTGGTCTACACTGATGGGGGCGATGTTTTCACTTCTGCCTCTTCTCAGTTAGGGAACCCCTCTGTGTCATAATCTCCCTTCCCAGTGTCCAAACCAGACATCTGACCAGCACGCAGGACTTTGCAGAAGAGGGTGACACGGTTAAGAGGTTGTTGATGGTTACGGTGGGTGAGTCATAAAGAGAAAGCAGGAGCTGGGGATCCTAGAGGGAGAGGGCAGGAGAGGTGGTCTCAAGTTACCCACCCTGGCCAGGGCATCCGGCAAGCAGCCCAGCCCAGCCCAGTGTTCCGAGTGTGGGCTCGGAACCTGCCCCGCCATGAGCTCTGAGACCTTGAGCGGGTCACATAACTTCTCTAAGACTCAGTTTTCTCACTTGTAAAGTGGGGATCATAATGGGACTTACCTCAGTGGTGTGTTGTGTCGTAGGAAATAATGGCTGTGAATTCATTTCAGGCACTGGGCACAGCCTCACGCACAGAGCAGCCCCAAAACCCAGGCTGTCATGAAACTGTCGAGGAGGACCCTTGTGAGAACAAAGAGGGCAAACCAGCTGTGAGCACCACCCGGATACAAGTTGTTACTCCTTGTATGACGTTCAGTTGGAAAAGGTTGCAGGGGATGCCCTCGCTGGCACTATGAGGCATCTGTGAAGTAGGGGTGGGTTGCGACAAGGACCGGAAATGGAAAGTGATGAAGCTGGAGCCCCGGAAGAACCAGAAATGAGGCCAGTCAATCAAGCAGACATGAATGAAGGTGAGGCTACAGGTAAGGGGGAGGGAAGGGGGACCTATGTGCTAAGGGGGTTGGCTGCAGTGTTGCACTAAGCAGACAAAGTTGTAGTTAAACAAAAAACCTACATGAAGATTACATGTAATCGCATGCTGCTTGGCCTTCTGCTGAATGTGATTATGCAAATGAATACATCTGTTATAAGACTACATTCATGAGCTCTGAGAATGACACCCGTCTTCCTTGGAGTAGATGAGCAGAATTTTTTTGTTTCTTCTTTGACATTTTTATTTTTTTACCCTTTTCTTCAGAAAGTCCATCATTACAGGTTCTATCCAGCCGTGTGACACTCCTGGTCCCAGCACACACCCCGGAGGCCTTTGTCCATGAGGTCAGCAATGTTCAACACATACCTGCGGAGTGGTCTGAAGTCCTACAGGCCATGGACACACTCCCACCTGAGCAGTGCAGTGACACCCTCAGCTCCCCAGCCCAAACTATCCCCCCCAAGCAGGCTGACACCCCCAATTCCCCAACCCAAAACATCCTGCCCAAGCAGGGTGACTTTCTCAGTTCCTCAGCAAAAACCACCCCATCCGAGCAGGCTGGCACCCCCAATTTCTTAACCCAAACCGTTTCACCAAAGCAGGGTGACACTCCCAAGTCCCCAGAAAAAATCATCTCGCCAAAAGAGGGTGAAATTCTCAATTCCCCCCTCAAAACCATTCTGTGCAAGCAGGGCAACACCCTCAAGCTCTCAGCCAAAACCATTCTGTCCAAGGAGGGTGACACCCCCAAGTCCTCAGCCAAAACCATTCTGCCCACTCAGGCTGACATCCCCAATTCCCCAACCCAAACCATTCCGCCGGATCAGGCTGACACCCTCAATTTAACAGAAGAAACCATCCCACCAAAACAGGGTGACATTCTCAATTTCCCAGCCAAAATCATTTCACCCAAGCAGGCTGACGCCCCCAATTTCCCAGCCAAAATCGTTCCACCCAAGCAGGCTGACATCCCCAATTCCCCAACCCAAATCATCCCACCCAAGCAGGCTGACACCCCCAACTCCCCAGCCAAAAGCATTTCACCAAAGCAGGGTGACACCCCCAGTTCCCCACTCAAAACCATCCTGTGCAAGCAGGCTGACATCCCCAATTCCTCAGAAAAAAATACCTCACCCAAGCAGGGCAATACCCCCAATTTTCCAGCAAAATTCATTTTGCCCAGGCAGGGCCACACCCACAAGCTCTCAGCCCAAACCATTCTATCCAAGCAGTGTGACACCCCAAAGTTCTCAGCCAAAACCGTTCTGGCCAAGGAGGGTGATGCCCCCAAGTCCTTAGAAGACACCATCCAGCCAATAGAAGGCAACCTGCAGTCAGCAGATGAAGCCATGGAGGTCCTGGAGGAGGACCTGGTGAAGGTGATCCTGAGCAAGGAAGACTTCGAGGTGGCGCTGAAGGAAGCTGGGGAGAGACTGGTGGCTGTGGACTTCTCGGCCACGTGGTGCAGGCCTTGCAGGTCAATCAAGCCCCTTTTCCGGTCCCTGTCCATGAAGCACAAGGATGTGATGTTCCTGGAAGTGGATGCTGATGAGTGTGAGGGGCTGGCGAAAGACTGCAATATCGTTTGCATCCCAACCTTTCAGTTTTATAAAAAAGAAGACAAGGTGGGCGAATTTTCTGGTGCCCTTAAGGAAAAACTCGAGACATTCATTACAGCATTGAAGTGATCGTGTGTTCCGAAAGCATTAGGAACAGTCAGCTGTTCATAGCTTGTCATTTTTTATTTACAAAAAAAAGATGAGGGGTAGCAAAAGTGTGTGTCCAAGTGGCACCTGCATGTGCATCAGAAATAGTAGCTCAACCCTTTCCAAAAAGCAGTCAAAGCCCTAACGCCTATTGTGACTGTGTTCTTGTTGATGGGACAGTGTGATATTAGAATTTCCTTTCTTGGAGATATTGGAAGTCCAGTTGTCCCCTATTTTTTAATCTTGATTTTTTTTTTTTTCACTCACTCTTGAAAATTCAGCTCGTGTAATCCTAGTGGCAACACTGAAAATTTAGACAATTCTTCTGTAGAAGGACATGTTTTAATGATGAGTGGAAATTTCTGATGTCCACATACCTTTGGGATATCTGATAAGAAAGTAAAGAATTGGAAGGATTCACATATATCTAACCTCCTTCATGTGCGGGAAGTGCTATGGAGGCCTCAGGAAATGTCACGGGCTCCACAAACATCTAGGGGATTCTTTGGTATCAGAGCTGAGACCAAGGCCATGTTTCCAGATTTCAAGTTCAGGCTTCTTTCTACTGATCCAGGCTCACAAAATCTGAGACAGCTCAAAACTTCTGGTTTTCTCAGACCAAGAGCTTTATGGTTCAAGTTTAAATTAGTGTGATCCTTGGTGCCATTATGACATCAGCAACCTAGTAGCAGAGTTCCTGCTTTGTCATCCTGGTAACTGGGTTTCTGATACCTGTTCTCAGATGTCTCAGAGTGTGTGTGTGTATATACACATATATATTGCATATATATGCATATATTTAATATATACAGTTTGGTGAGTTTGGACATATGCATACACACGTGATACCATCACCACCATTGAGGTAATAAACCTACCCATCATCTGTTTCCACAACTTTCCCTGTGTGTCCCTTTCCTTGGTGTGTGTGTGTTAAGAACACTTTGCATGAGATCTACCCTCTTAACACATTTTAAGTGCACTATAGCATATTAACTACAGACACTATGCTGTCCAGCAAATCTCTAGAATGTATTCATCCTGGATAACTAATTTTATACCCACTGAATGACAACTCTGCCTTTCCCCCCATTCCCTGTCAGCCACTGTCTTATCTTCTGCTGATCTAGAATGTTTTAAAGAATTTGAGGTCTTCCCTGGTGGCGCAGTGGTTGAGAGTCCACCTGCCGATGCAGGGGACACGGGTTCGTGCCCCGGTCTGGGAAGATCCCACATGCCACAGAGCGGCTAGGCCCTTGAGCCATGGCCACTGAGCCTGCGCGTCCTGAGCCTGTGCTCCGTAATGGGAGAGGCCACAACAGTGAGAGGCCCGCGTACCGCAAAAAAAAAAAAAAAAAAAAGCATTTGAACCAATTGTCCACATGGCAAAACCCAGGATTCCCTTTAAAATCTTGAATTGTAGCTTTTCATGAAAAATTGTAAAATCTGGCAATCCAGGCGTGCATGACCTCAAGAAACTGCTCTAACCTTAGGGGCTGAGTGGCAGCTTGCTCCGTTGGATGGGGCATGCGTTCTCCGGCTCTGGTGAGGAAACTGGCTGGCTTCTGCATTTACCTGGTTGAGTTGTGATCCCTCCTTAGCTGCAGGAGTGGGATGGTGCCAGCAACTTCCATTGCGTGACGACCCTGACTCTCCTTGATGTGTCAATCATGGACCTCGTTTGAGGGTTAAAACAACTAACAACAGCAAACAAAATACCATACATGCTACTGTATAGCACAAGGAACTAGATTCAACATCTTGTAATAACCTATAGAGGAAAAGAATCTGAAAAAGAATAGATATATATGTATAACTGAATCACTTTCCTGTTCACTTGAAATATTATAAATCAATGATTGAATCAATTAAAAAATAAAAATAACCCCCCCCAAAACCCAAAATACCATACATACCCAGTCTTTTTTTTTCCAGAAGGATTCAGTATGACCTGCAAAAAGTATTAATGTTAAGGTTAATAAACTAATATGGGGAAATTAGAAGCATAAAAATAAATAATATGTCAATAATATATCTGAGGGCGGGTTTCACTCCCTGATTGAGTGGCAACTTTTGTTCCGAGCTTCTTAGCAATGAGGGGGTGTGGGGAGAAAAGGGAAACTCAGTGATACCCAGATATCGTTACCGGAAAGGAGCAAACATCGGAATTGGAAAAAGGAGTCAGAGCTTTCCCACAACTGAATTTCAGAATGAAAATTTTCATCTGGGACCTTAAGTTTGAGACATTGAATAATGGATGAGGTTCTTGACAATGTTTTTTTACATTCAATTCAGAAACAATTTTCATCTGACTAATCCTGGTAATAATCTTTCATAGAAGCCAAAGCTGTCATCAGAAAGCACTTTTCAATGAAAGAATCCTGGATTCAAGGTGCACAAGCATGTAGCTTTTGTATTTTCATATAAAAGGACTTTTACTTATGATTCATATAGCCCATCTGTTCTTTTCCTCTGATAGACCTTCCTCTGACTTTTTTACTTGGATTTTTTCCTATTTTCCATGTTGAGCAAGTCTGTTTTTTTTTTTTTTTTTTTTTTTTTTTTTTTTGCTGTGCTGGGCAGCTTGCAGGATCTTGGTTCCCTGACCAGGGATCAAACCTGTGCCCCCTACAGTGGAAGCTCATGCAGAGTCCTAACCACTGGACCGCCAGGGAAGTCCCAAGCCTTTTAACATGACTCTATATCTGCTTAGCTATTTAGGCCCATGCTTCAGTGGGTTAACCCAACCCCTCCGTTACCAAAGCCTGTTTGGACAACTTGGTGAGGCCCCAGCGATGTGAAGGACCAGAGACCCTGAAATCCAACATTAGTGAGTTACACCAGCTGCTTTTCCTGGGACCTTAGTATTGAAAACGTTTCTATCATAGGTCTTTCTTCATACTCAGGTTACCAAGTGATGACACGGACAATGACCTAAAAAAAATCCTTAAAAAAATTGTGATAGATTCTGCAGGTGATTTTATATTATTCCTAATGTAGTTAAGGGAGGAGGGCAACGCACAGCTCTGGGAGGGCAGTTCCGAGGCCAAGACAGTGGCAGCGAACGTGTGGCTCTCGATGATCTAGTCTGATCCGGGGAGAAACGCTAAACTATCAGAGAATCGGTCTGTGCTCCTCAAACCACCCACCCTCAGCACCATTTCTCTTGACTGGATAATAGTCAAACAGCAGCCAGGACGAAGGTATGTTCTCTGCACTCAGAAAGCTCGAGTATGGAAATTCCATTTTCCTGATTAAGAAAGAATCATGGGGCTTCCCTGGGGGCGCAGTGGTTGAGAGTCCGCCTGCCAATGCAGGGGACACGGGTTCGTGCCCCGGTCCGGGAGGATCCCACATGCCACGGAGCGGCTGGGCCCGTGAGCCATGGCCGCTGAGCCTGCGCGTCCGGAGCCTGTGCTCTGCAACGGGAGAGGCCACAACAGTGAGAGGCTCCCCGCCCCCAAAAAAAAAAAAAAAAAAAAAAAAGTTCCTATTCCAAAATATAAACACAAGAAACAAAAACTGAAAAAATATTTGCCAGATATATGACATAATAGTCAATATTTTATTTTATTTATTTTCTTTTTTGTGGTACGTGGCCCTCTCACTCCTTTCTGCTCCCCACGCAGGAGGAGGGGGAGTGAACTAAGTGTGGTCAGGGTCATGTTAAATCAGCATTTCTCAAACTAGTGGTCATAGAACCACATGCGGTGCTGTTAGACACTCAGATACCTAGGCCTCTGTTCTCAAGAAATCAGATTCAGTAGCTATGGGCCGGGGCCTAGGAATCTCTCCCCATAGTTAAAGGAAAACCGTCCAGCCATCCACAGTTCAAGTCCAGCCCCCATAAGCTCCCATCCCGAACGTGCTTCCTCAATTCAGGACATCTGCTCTCCGGCATAGCATCACCTTTCTCTAATCTCCACCCTCCTTTCCAGAAACCCCAAGCCCTAGCCCACAGGGTGGTCTTATCCTAGATTTGGGTCCCTCCTAGCAGCCTTTCCTCCCTAAGTCTCAGAGACTCCGTTTAGAATACCACCGCCAGGGAGAGAGGGCCACACGGGCCACACAAGAGGCTTGGGCTTGGGTGGGTCCAGTCTCCCCTGAGATCTCCCCACTAGCTTGAATGCCCACTAGCATGCCCCTAAATCCTCTGATAATCCAGAGCACAACTGCTGTAACAAACACACTTCCACGACAGAATCTCTCCTTTGGGACTGAATTGCTGAATCCCACAAGGACCTCTCCCCTGCAGGAACCTCTTCCTACCCATCCCTATGACACGCGAGGCTGCTTCTTTTCCAGTGGAGTTAGGACTTCACATTATTTTGTTGTTCTTATTTTTTAGCCACACCACGCGGCACGCGGGATCTTAGTTCCCCGACCAGGGAGGGAACCCACACCCCCTGCAGTAGAAGAGCAGAGTCCTAACCACTGGGCTTCACATTGTCTATGGAACATCCTTCCTTCATCCCCTCTCTCTCAACCTGGCCCTGAAGACCTACCTGGAATAAGAAAATGGGTACATTGCTGAATCAGAGTTACAGGCTGTTAAAAGATAAACTGAGGCATATTACAATTTTTAAGAGTTTATTTGAGCAAAAACTGATTCCAGGGCTTACCCTGGTGGCGCAACCGTTGAGGGTCCGCCTGCCGATGCAGGGGACGCAGGTTCGTGCCCCGGTCCGGGAAGATCCCACATGCCGCGGAGCGGCTGGGCCCGTGAGCCATGGCCGCTGAGCCTGCGTGTCTGGAGCCTGTGCTCCACAACGGGAGAGGCCACAACAGTGAGAGGTCCGTGTATTGCAAAAACAAAACAAAACAAAAAAGAAACTGATTCCAGTTGGGCAGCGCCAAACCGTTAATGGTTAGGGGGGCTCAGCCGACAAGAGCTGGGGAAAGACTGACACGGAGAAGGTGGGGAAGCAAAGCAAGGAAATGGTTGGACTGCTGCAGCCTGAAGCCTGGTTGGCTGTGATCCT